GCGCCTCCGCCCCGGGGACCGCTCACCGAAGTACACCTCCTTGTCACACTTGGGGCACTTGGGCATGGCGGCGTCGGGTCGAGGCTGCAGGCGGCGGGATGGGCGCGGCCCGCGGGCTCCTCGCCTTTCAGGGGCCCGTGCGCCCGCCCCCCGAGAGCCCGCCCCCAACGCCCCGCCCCCGAGTCCGGGGCTGGGAGCCCGGGGAGCTGGGTCCCGGCCCGCGGCCAGCAGAGGGGCCCTGGGCGGCACCCGGCGTCTCGGCCCGGACCCAGCTCCCCGCGTCGCGGGGCGGGAGGCTTCCCGAAAGCAGTCCGCAGGAGCGGGGAGGGCACCGGCCGCCCGTGAAATGCAAACCCACGCGCTCGGACCGCGCCCCCCTGCGCACGGCCACGGCCGGCCGGCCTCCGCGACCCCGCCACCCCACGTGCGGGGGACGGCAGCGGGACGTCGCCTAGGCGGCGGGGCGGCCTGGCAGGTGCGGGGGAGGGGACGGTGTGTTGTCTCCGCCTGCAGCGCCCGTGCCCAGCTGGCGCGGTCCAAGTCCGCGGGGCCAGGGAGGCGCGGCCGCCCGGCGCCTCCCTGGTGCCAGGCGGAGACGGCCCGACCCCGGCCCGGCCCTGCCCGTGCAGAAGCCCAACCCGAATTGGGAAGGACAGAGAGAGGGGTCTGGCTACAGGGACACCAGCCCATGCCCCGACCCTTCCCTGGGAGACGTGGAGAGTGCCCTGCGGATCCCGGCAGGAGAGGCACCTCCGGCCAGCCCTTCGCCCGGCCTCAGTCTATGGTGGGATCCCGCTCTGCTCTCCTCCCCTCAGGAAACCCCTTCCCATGGCACTGTCCTCTGCCTAACCCTCCTGCCACCTGGTCACTGTCCAAGGACACTTCCACCTCCTCTCTCTCCGCGTGGGGGGTGCCCCCGCGACCACACCCCATTCTTGGCCTCACCCAGCCTCCTAAGCGCCCAGCTGTGCCTGGACAACCCCCCACCCAGCAGCCCCTCCTACTGTTCCTTGGGTCCAGAGTTCCTCCCCACCCACCCTGTCACCAGTGTCCTCATCTCCCCTCCACACACCCATTTCTCAGAACAAAACATCAGCTCTGGACACTGACATGCTCCAACCAGAGGCCACTGGGCCCAGCTACTGCCTCCTGCCCAGGCTGCTGCGGGACCCATACTGCCTACTGGCCCTGGAAGCGGGGCTGCAGTCCACCAGATGCACCTACTGTCACATGTAGGCCTGCCAGCTTCCCTGCAAAGCACGAGGCACCACTGTGTGCTTTTTGGAGTTAAGGACACCAGCTTGACCCTCCCCATCCTGCATCCCATCCCTTGGCGACCCCTTGGCTTGGGCCTGATGCTGCCAGGCCAGGGAGCAAGAGGGCGGTCCCGTCTCCCCCCTCTCCTGGCTCTAGGGTCAACAAGAGAGAAAGGGAGGCAGGCCAGACAGACACAGACACAGCAGCCAGGACAGAAAAGTGGACAGAGGCAGAGAAAAAGGCAAAGGTCCGAGGGGGTGGCCAGAGAGGCCAAGCACAGACAAGCTGTTGTGATGGGGGTGTCCTAGGGAGGGCCTGGGCCTGGAACCAGTAGACTGAACATGGGTGAGTCTGTCACAGCAGGTCCCTCATCTCAGACCACACTCATGTTGCACACACACACATGAGATGACAGCTGGACCTGCAGGGGTGTGTGAGGATGGAGGCCTCCCCTCACAGGATGGGATGCTTGCTGCGGGTCTCCAGGGAGAGGTCCGTGTACGTGTGTGTGTGTGTGTGTGCTGTGGCTGATGTGGGTGTGCCTGTGGACCTGTGTGTGGGTGTATGTATCCGGGTGTGTCCCATGTGTGTGTATGACCAGTCTCTCTTGGAGCAGCTATCTGGCCATATTTCTGGTGAGCCAACACCCCCAGCTGGCCCCTCCCAGCCTGGGTGCTTTGTAGGGTACCACCAGGAACAGCAAGGGCCCTTGTCCTCAGCCCTCAGCCCCACCCTAGGGATGGTCCTGTCCACACACTGTGGACCTGAACTCTGCCTGCAGGGGAAGCCTCCCTTGAAAAGAGGGGTGGATAGGTCCCCTCCTGGCTCTCCTCACTGTTATTTCCTGTTGCCATGGACACAGGTGGGGGAGGAGGATGCCAAGGCAGAGGCAAGCACTGTGGGGCATTGCCCTCTGGGTTGGTACACAAATGCAATTTCCCACTCAACTCACAGTCATACAGCCACATACAACACACACCCAGACACACATAGTCACATAAACATACACTCATGGTCACACACCACACACAGACACAGTCACACACTCAGTCACATACACACACTCACAGACATAGCCACACATATATATATACCCACAGAAACACATAATCACATATAACACAGTCACACATACACCCACAGAAAGTCACACAATCACACAACACACTCAGACACAGCCATACACATAGCCAGACACACACACACACACAGTCACTCAGACACACAGTCACACTACAACACACACTCAGACAAACACATGCTTCCTGGGACATCTCAAAACTACTACCATAGACTCAGTCCCCCTCAGCCCACCTGTGGCCTGCGCTCCCCACCCAGTCCACCTGTGGGGACTGCAACACAGGCTGCAGCCTCCAAAACTCCCTGGGCTCTTTGCTCCACCCAGACTCCCCTGCCAGCCTCCTCAGAAGCCTCCATCCAGACCCAAGGCCTCTCTGTCCCTCTGTCCCATCAGCCACCTGTCTCTGCTCTGCGCCCAAGGCTCAACTTGATTCAGGGAGACCAGCTCCAGACTCGCCATCTGCCCTGCCCCCCCATCCCCAGGATGGGTGCTGTGTGCACTTGGTGCCTCTGAACAAACAGGACAGGGTGAGATCAAGGATGAGCTGAGCTCCCTAACCGATGAGGGAAGGCCCCCACGGGGTGAGCACCATCTGGGGGGAGCTCCCTGACACAGCCCTCTTGCAGCCCCCGGAGTTGGAGTCTCAGCTAGCCTGGCTGGCCCCTCGGCCCTGCCAGCCTTCTCTCCCGACATGGCACTGGCCAGGTGGAACTGGGGTGGGCAGGACAAGGGGTGCTTGCCCTGGCTGCTTCTGTCCCAAGAACATTCCACCCTCCACCAGGACAGGAGGTGCTGTGGGGGGAGTTCCGTGTGCTTCCTCCCCCTGCTCCCCCCTCTGCAGACACCCCCACGCCTCAGCCCCCTCCCATTCTGCCAGTGGCCAGCCCAGACCAGTGGGAGCAAGCAGGCTCCTGCCCTAGAGAAGTAGTCCAGAAAGGACCCATGAGGGACCTGGAACAAAGGTGGCCCTGGTTTACACTGACCTCTGAGGAATTCCAGCCTCCAGGCCTCGGGCTGTCCATCCCCACTGGGACAGTTCTGCTTCTCTGGAGCCCCTCCTCCCCCACCGATAGCCCCTCACTTTGCTCTCCACACCCCAAGCCTGCCTTCACCCGGGGACTCTAGCATCCTCAAAGACCCCTACCAGTCCCCTTCCCTGCCTAGGCGCTGACACCTCAGCCCCCTTCAGGCCCCTCCTCAGGACGGGCAGGTGTGTCTGGGGCAGGTGGGGGAGAAACCCCTTCAGGCAGGGACAGTCCAGTTCAGTGTCCTCAGGTCCCCTGCAAGACCAGCTCCCAGTCCCAGAAGCCCTGTGCCACCCAGCCCTCTCAGAGCACAACCCTCTCCACTCAGCTGGCCGAGTCAGGAACGCTCACAATTCCCAGGACCTATTTTCAGCATCTTATCTCCTGGGACCCGCTGTCTGCCCAGAGGTCCTGCCCCAGCGTGGTGGGCCTGCTGGCCTGAGTGGGGGCAAGGAAGGGAGGGGACTGGAAACTGCCTTTTCCCAGGAAAGGCTTCGCAGCCTGGGCAGAACCTCCTGGGCCCAGGCGGGAGGGCAGTGCCTCTCCTCCTCTCCGAGAAGCAAGAGTTCAATGTGGGGGACACAAACCGACTAGAGCATCCCCCAACCAGCCCCAACCCCAAAGGGGTACCCCCTAGCAGCATCCATATTCTGGCCAGAACAGGGTGCCCCACCCCCTTCCCTCAAGGCTGGGCCTCCAGCTCCAGGCTCCCAGGCCTCACAGCCCCCCCACCCCCACCCCACTGGCCCTCTGGGACCTGGGAAAGGGCCACTCACACCTGGTTGCCCTGGCCTGGGGCCAGTCCAGTGCTGGCCTGCACACAGCCCCATTCCCCCTCCCCTCGGCCACTGGCACTCTGTTTCTTGATACCCACACCCTCCTCCAGGTACAGAAACAGTTTGGGGCTGGAGAAGCCGGCTCTGGCCCCAGGGGTAGACTAGATGAACTTTCCTCCAAGTCCTAAGAAAGTTCAGAGAAGGTAGCTTGGGCTGGGTGTGGCCTGCAGGGGTGGAAGCCAGGGTGAGAAGGGCCCAGGGTGGATGCCGAGTGTCTCTGTTCCGGGGCAGTGTGGCCGGGGCCCTGAGTCCTCAAGAAAGTAGGGCAGAGGGAGCCCTGGAGAGATGCGCCCCCTGTGGCCCTAGCCTGGACCCCGCAGGCCCAGGCCGGGTAGGGTGCGGTCAAGGCGCTGGAGATGAGGGGGGCCGCAGGGACCTGTGAGCAGTTCAGTTTAGCAGAGCAGAGTGGGGGTGCAGGTGTCCTGCCCAAAGACCTTGGGGGTCCCCGGACTTGCTTCTCGGGGTCTCTGATAGTGGAAGGTGTAGCGGTCCTACGCTGCAGCCACAGTTCTGGAAGGGAGGCCCAGCAGCCCAGCAGGGAGCGGCGGTGAGGCCTGGGGCCCACGCCAGGACAAAGGCGCGCATTCCCGCCGGCCCTCCATCTTGACGGAAGTAGGGGGATGGGAGACTGCGGACGCCCGTGGAAACACCTGGTGCTGGGGGTGTTGTGGGGTGTTCCTGGAGCCGGTACTATCGAAGGAGCCCAGGCAGCCGGGGCCCCCGTCGTCCCCCCGACGCAGCCCAGCAACACACAGAGACAAACAGTAGCGGCGCCCGCCCCGGTTTCCATGACAACTCCTTGGAAACAAACACCGCGGCGCGTCATGCGCCCGCAGGAAATGGAGCTGGGCCCTCCTCCGGCTGAGCCTTTGGGGCACTGCAGTTCCTGACCTGCCCCGGGCTGGGGGCTCATCCTCCCGGGAGGCGACACTCCTCGGCCCTCAGCGCGCCTCGCCGGCCCCGGCGGGGTCTTCGGGCTCACAGGGCTGCTGCCAGCTCATCGCCCAGGCTTTGGGAAGGGCGCGCCCGCCCACCACCGTCTGCTTCCAGCATAGTTTCCACTGGTGGCTCCCGCGGGAGCGGCCCCAGTAGCCTGCTACCCCCCCAACTCCACTCTCAACGGAGGCAGGAATTTCCCATCCGACACTCGGAGCCAGTGTTCCAGCAGCCAGCGCTAGGGAGGGGCATTCTGAGCTCCCCTCCAGTCAGGAAGCCTTGGCCAGACTGGCATGGGGGTGAGGAGGGGAATCGCCCTAGCCCCTCCTCTGAGCACCCTCCGTGGGCCCCAATACCCGGCCCAATCTCCCTTCTGCCTGGGGTGGGGGCTGAGCGCCCCGAGCCCCGCAGATCAGCCACCCAGCACCCCTTCTGGCTGCCTGCGACTGCAGCCTCCAAGTGGGGCAGAGACACTGCTGTCCACCCTGGTTCCTGGGCCCCATCCGCCAGGTGGAGGCTATTTAGACACTGCTGCACACTGGAGCCGGCCATGCCCACCCCTGGCCCCAATGGCTGCCTTGGGGACAACGGGCTAGGCATGCAGTCATCAGCTATGTCTGAGGCCATGAGGCTGGGGGGCGGGGGGCAGGGCGGGCAGGCGCGCAGGCAGCTGGGCAGGGACAGGGCTCATGCCAGGAGCTTGGCTGGCAGGGAGCTTGCCCTGGAGAGCAGAGCACACATGCTGGGGAACAGGAATGGAACCCCAGGCACTGTGGGGGCAGAGGCATGGGTTCCAGAGTTGACTAGGCCTGACACCCCTCACAGGCCTGAGGCAGGGTCCCAAGGGTGGAGACCTTCGGGGTCACCTGGGTGCACGCTGCAGGGATGAGGGAGCAGAACCTGAGGTGGGGATCCCAGATTGGGTCAGGACAGGGGCTGAGCCGGAAGAGGGTACCCTTGCGGCCCAATGCCTAGATGTGTAAACGAGAGCCCTCTGGTGGAAGGCCCAGGGTCAGCATACAAAGGGAAAGAACAGGACGACCAGGCACAGGGAGAAGCGCTTGAGCGGGATGCCTGCAGAGGCCAGGCGTTTCTGTGGCCACTGCAAACGCAGACACAGCCACCCACATTGAGGCAGCCATACAGCCGAGGAGGCCTCCACATCCCTCCCCTTTCACCAGCTCCCTTTCCCCACAGGCGGTCCACCATGCCATGCACTGTGCCTCTGGGTCTGTGGTGGGTCCCTGCGTCCCCCTAGGCCCTCTGCTACTCCTGGCTATGCCTAATGTTGGCATGGGGTGTGGGGGGTAAGTGCAGCCCCAGCCCCGTAGGCACCACCCACCCAGGAGCTCAGCGCTGCCCCCATTACCATGACCCAGGCAACTCCCCTCCAAGGACACTTCACCCAACTGTTGCTAGCCAAGACCCCTTAGGATGCCTTCCAGCTCCCTCCTGCCCCTCCTCTCATTCTGGCCACCCTCTCTCTGCCACCCACCCCATCTCAGTATTGGCACCACTGCCCATAGCAGAGCCCAGGCTCCTCCCAGCACCTCCCCCACACCCTCCTCCCCAGAAAGGTCTCTGGACTCTGACCCTGCCCCCTCATCACCCTTAGATACAGGACCTCTCTTCCACCAGGAGCCAGGAACAAGGGTGTTGGGAACACTTGTGGACAGAACAAAGAGACACTGTCCTGGACACTTCTCCATCCCACAACCAGAGACACAACCACGAGAGCCTGTAATTCTCCAACTCTTTATTGGTAGCAGAAGTCTGGGCAGCATCTTGTCCAACCATTGGGGGCTGCCAGGCAGGGTGGGTGAGGGCAGAGGGCTCCGCCTGCAGGGGCTGTGAGAAGCGTGCCCGAGGGGCATAAATAACACTGGTGGGCAGGCCTGGGGCAGCAGGGGAGGGAGAGAGACAGCCCCTCCACGAGACCCACACTTGGGGACACAGGACACACAGGGACAGGCAGACATGGGGATGCAGAGACATGCAGGGCCACACTGGGACACTGTACAGGGACACACAAGGGCATGGGGGCACATAAACACACCAGGGGTAACAGGCAGACCACGACACAAACATGGGCCTTTTCAGAGGCAGCAAGGGGCCTCCGTCTCCCCAGCACGGGAGCCCTGGCTTGCAGGCCTCGCATGCTGCGGTGCAAGAGGCAGCCCCCGTCCACTCCCCCAGGGAGTCAAGCAGTGGGCCCGGGGAGGGCCGGCGGGGGCGGGGGCAGGGGCGGGGGCCGCGGAGGGCTGCGCCTAAGGCTGCACTTTGCCATCGGGGTCCCGGTCGTAGATGTAGCTCCCCACCGCCCCGGTATTCACACCTGCGGAGATAGGAGGGGTGACGGGAGGCGCACAGGGGGGCCACGTGGACCCCTAACCCCCTCGGGCACACTCACCCTTGGGTCCGAAGAGTATCCCGTAGCAGGGCTTGTGGCAGTAGGGCTGGCCATCGTGCTGCGGGTGGGAAGCAGCGGCTGAGGCCCGAGGCCCCAGAGGCTTCGTCTTCCACGCACACAACGTCATCACGTGCCTGTCTGCTTCCCTAACGCCCTCAAGGTTCCAGGCCACGTCAGTGCCCACCCCCCGGGCCTCGAGAGGCTCCAATGCTAGGCGAGTCTCAGCTCCCGCCAGTAGGGGGCAGCCTGCCCCGCGCGCCCCCGCCAGGTCCCCCGCGCGCGCGCGCCCGCACCTCCGCGTGCCCGCCGGGAGTCAGCGTCTTCCCGCAGCGCTCGCAGCGCAGGCACGGCCGGTGCCAGTCCTTGCCCAGAGACGTCACCTTCTCGGCTGCGAAGGGGGAGACGGTGAGGCCGAGCGGCGGCAGGTGGCGGTGCAGAGGCTGGGCCGGCCAGGGCGTGCTATGCACTCACCAAAGTAGACCCTCTTGTTGCAGCGCGGACACGTGTTGGGTTCCCCGGTGAAAGTGGTGACGCTGGAAGCTGGCGAGGGAGGCAGGTCAGGGCAGGCGGCAAGGGCGGAGGCTGCTCCAGCAAGCCCAGGGTACCCAACTCAACCCACCTTTGCTGGGCCCTCTGGGGGGGCCGCTGGCCTTCCGCTCCTCAGCACGAGCCACAGGGACATCGACGGGTCCGGTGACATGGGGCCCCTCAGCGGGGGGCTTCTCATAGATGTAGGAGCCGGCACCGCCAATGTTCACACCTGTGGGGTGTCAGGCACAAGCAGGGTGGGTGGAACCACCTCTCCCTCCTCCATGGGCCACCCTGTGGGGTCAGGATCCCCCCGGGGGCTAGCAGGCTGGATTTCCATGAGGGGCCCGGTGAAGGCAAAGGCTCCCAGCCAGAAGGGGACAAGAACAAGAGGGGGGCCCAGGGCTGAGGTGGTGTGAGTGGGGCAGCACCCAACTCCACCCCGGGACTCCCACACCCCGTGCACGCCGGCCCCCGCCCCCCGCACTGATTGCACCTGCGTCGGAGGTGGTCTCTGGTGCTTGGGGAGAATCAGCAGCACCCACCCCAGCAGCCAGTTCCAGCACATGAGAGGGCACTCTTCCAAGACCAGGGAAAGTCACAGGAGAGGTGAGGGCCCCAAGCTCACCTTTGGGGCCGAACAGCGTAGCATAGCAGGGCTTGTGGCAGAAGGGCTTCCCGTCATGCTGGACAGAGGGAGTTGGTGGTGAGGGCCGCACCTGGCCCCTGAGCTCTTTCCCAAAGGCTCCTTAGGACCCCGCCCTGCCCGAGGAAGTTGGGAGCCAGGGGGATTGCCCACCCAGCCCCCAGCCCCGGCCCCACAGAGGGGGGCTCACCTCGGCATGGCCCCCAGGCGTCAGCGTCTTGTTGCAGCGTTCACACTTGAGACAGAATTTATGCCAGTCCTTGCCCAGGGAGCTCACCTTCTCAGCTGGGAGATGGGGGGGTCAGGGCCAGCTGTGGCCACAGCCTAGCCCAGCCACTGTCTGCCCCCCTGCAGGGGGCCTCAACGGCCCAGGGCACCCTGCCTGTCAGCCCTCAGCCATGCCCTGTGGCAGCCCCAGCAGGCTTTCTAAAGCTCCCCAGAGACAGCCTGCCCTGTGGCCGCCCACCTCCCACCTGGGCCTGGCTAGCCCCCCTGCCAGGGGCCCCTCCAGCCACAACCCTTCTTTGGAGCCTCGGGTCAGAGCCTTTCTCCCCAATCCTTGTCCACCCATCGGCCTCTCTGGGCCGCAGTCCCTGGAGCCGGAATCTTGGGAAGGCCCATGCCTGTAATCCTCCCAAGGGCTGAAGTTGACCGTTCCTTGTTCGCACCCCCTCCTCTTCCTCAAAAACCTCCTCCCTCTCACACCTGCCTCCCTCATACACAGCTGCTCCTCCCTCACACCTCTGCTTCTGCCACACCTGGCACCTATCCCTTCTCACACCTCCCTCACCCACATCTGCATCCCTCACACACCTGTCTCACACTCAGCCCTGCTTCACACTCACACGCCTGGCTCCCCTCCATACTTACTTCCCGTACACATCTGTCTCTCCCTGTGTACCTACCTGTCACACACCTGTTTCCCCCCACACAGAGTTCCTCCATATGGACCTGCTTCATGTTCACACCTCCCTCACCCACTTGCCTCCTCACACCCCTGCCTCACACTCACATGCTTGTCCCGCCCCACCACACATTCCCTGCGCTACCCATGTCAGGACCTAATGAAGCTGGCAGAGCCCTTGCAGAGGGTCTTGGAGCTGGGAGCGGGCCCCACATTGCCGGTGTGGAGGCCAGGTCAGGTCGAGACAGAAGTTGCCCCACACAGGACCCCCACCATCTATACTTAGCTCTTCATCCTGAGCCCTGAACTACTCGTCATTGCCTCTGGCTGTCACTTTGTCCCCCAAGGTCTGAGACCAGCTGCTAACCAACCAAGGCGAACCTCCCCCAGGCGCAAGACTGCTGGCCAACTCCCAATGGACGGAAGCCGAGGCCCTCCTCATGGGAGCGGGACAGGAAAAGGGTGGAGGGGAGAGGACAGGAAGAAGGGCCAGGGCGGCGGGAAGGGCAGCTGAGTGCCGGGGCGGGGCGCAAGCAGGCTTCCTTGGCTCTACTGCACTGAGTGGAAGCTGGCCGCAGGGCCCTCTGTCTGGCAACCCCCGGGGAGTGGGGACCTGGCCCAGCCACAGCCCACCCTGAGACCAGGGTGCTCCTGGGAAGCAGCTGGTCAGGCCCGGGCGCTGGACTCCTCCAGGGTAGCCCAGGGGAGGGGCTTTCCTGCTAGATCTCCCTCGGTCCTGGGCCCCGGCAGACCTCCAGGCCCCCTCACCCCCCAGGCAGCCCCCTCACCCCATGAGCAGCCCCAGCTTTGATCCCTCTAGCTAGAACCGCCCCGCTTGAATGCTGGGTACAGGCCTTCCAGCACCCCCCACCGCAACCCTCCTCCACGCCTGGGCAGACAGAGCTAGCTCAGCCTGTGGGCCTGGCTCCAGTGCCAGGCCTGGTATCCCTTCTCAGCACCACCATAAGGACACTGTCGTGCTGGCCCTCCAGGCCCTGACAGCTGCCACTCAGGGCTTGCCAGGGCCTTTGCTGCCCCAGCCCAGCTTGGGGGCGAGCTTCAGACCCACTGGCCCATGGACACATGCCTGGGCTGGCGGGAAACATGGACCTAAGTAGCTTGGGAGGGAGCTGGATTCTCAGGACAGAGGTAACATCTTTGGTCCCTCAGGACATCCTGGGCCTGCATCCCTGGGTTCTCAGGGGTACTGGTTGCTGGGAAAGGGGGACTGTGGGGGTTGCTGGGTGCAGCCTGGTTGGGGGGTGGGCTGGATCCCAGACTTCACCCCCCACCCCCTGCAGTGCCTCCCAGCTAGGACGGGAGCCAGGCGGTCTGGGGAGCCTTTGTTGTTTGTTGAAAGCCAGGAGCCACAGGCAGGCAGAAGTGCTTTTCCCAGTTGTGCAAGGGACTGCTGGCCACGGCTCTGGAGAGTCCCAAGCTGGCCTGGCCTGGCTCTGGCCAAGTCAGGGGCAGTGGACGGCAGGAAGGTCCTAGGGACTGCTCCCACCCCCTGGGGCCTTACAGGGCAGGAAGAACTCCCGGGAGGCAGCTGGAAGCCCCTGGGCTCTGTGCCACCAGCAACCAAAGAACTCCTGGCCAAATTCGGCTCCTCCCCTCTGGGAGCAGCAAACAAAGTGTGGGCCACCCCTCCCAGCAGGCTTCCTTCACTGTGGCCTGGCCCTGACCACTGCCCCTGGGATGACGAGGGAAGGGTCCCAGATCCACCCTTGGGCTGCCCTTGGTTCTGGAACTAAGTCTGCCCCTCTCTGTGCAGGCAGTGGGGGTGGAGAGTAGGTGGGCAGGGCCCTCCCTGGCAAAGTTGGGGGAGCATGGGTAGAAGCCGGCAGAAGCGGGTAGGCAGTGAGTAAGGCCCCCCCAGTGTGAGGGGCTGAGTGTCCGCCTGGGGCTTCAGAAGGCCGAGGATAGGGGGTCGGGGGGCTCCAGGCAGAAAAACCGCCAGCCAGCCCAGTTGAGACCCTTCCTCAGGGCCGTTCTGACCTTGAAGATAATGGAGGGGTCGCTCATGAGGACCTCGCTAGTGAGGACCGGTGTGTCACCTGCCCTCCCTCTCTCAAACTCCTGGGCACACTAGCACGAAGAAGGCAGCGAGTTAGGGCTTGCGAGACGGGAAGGCCAAGGTCTCCTCCACGTGGATAAGTCCAGACAGCCCCGGTACGGCGTGGGCAGGGATCAGGGTGGGGGCAGGGGTCGCTGCGCCGGGCCCAGCGAGCCCGGCCACGTGTCCGGAGGCGAAGA